GGTTGTACTAACATTAAACTCACCTTGGAGGTCTAATTGATATGCAATGTCATTGATCCTTTTGACTACTTGGAAAAGTCCATCTTATCGAGGCATCAATTTGGACTTGTGTTGAACCAAAAACCTTTATTTTCTCATGTGTAGCCACACCAAATCTCCTGGATCAAAGGTAACTCTCTTACAACCCTTGTTCTCTTGCTGCTCATATTGCTTGGTTCGCTTGTCAATGTTCTCCAGCACTTGTTGCTGGAGATTTTTAACAAAATCAAACATGTTGTGTCCATCCTATTTCATGTTTTGTTCAGCGGGTAATAGCAATATTGCAACGGAGTTAATGGGTTGAACCCATAAACTACTTCAAAGGGTGTGTTTCCGATAGTAGTATGAATTGAATGTTTATATGCAAACTCCACATGTGGTAAGCTCTCCTCCCACATTTTCAAATTCTTTTGAATAATGGTTCGAAGCAGCATGGATAATGCATTATTCATCACTTCAATTTGGCCATTTGTTTGAGGGTGACAAGTGGTGGAAAATAATAACTTTGTACCAACCTTACTCCATAAAGCTCTCCAGAAATAACTTAGGAACTTCACATACATATTGGATACAATTGTCTTTGGAATGCCATGGTATCTCATAATTTCCCTAAAAAAATAGATTGGCAACATATGAAGCATCATTAGTTTTGTTACAAGTAATAAAGTGGACCATTTAAGAAAATCGATCTACTAATATAAAGATAGAATCCTTATTAGCCATTGAACAAGGATGCCCAAGTACAAAATCCATAGAAATATTCATCCATGGGGATTTCGAAATGGGTAGTGGTGTGTAAAGCCCATATGACACGACTTTCGACTAGCCTTCCTCTAGGTGATGCAACACTCACATAATCTCTCTACATCTTGTTTCATTTTGGGTCAATAAAGGTGCTCTTGAAGTATGTTCAAGGTCTTTGGTATCTCGAAATGTCCTATTAAACCTCTTCCATGGGTTTCTTTGGTAAGTTACACACGTGTGGAGTCTTGTAGGATGGTTAACCTTCATTTCTTGAATAGAAATCCATTTCTAAAGTACTTTTCAAATATCCCTTTTCATATGCCTTGTAAGTCTCTCCAAAATTAGGATCATAAACATATAAATCTTTAAGTTAAGCAAATCCCAACAACTTAGAATCTAAACTATTTAGAAGAGTATAGCTCTGTGACAAATCATCAGCAACTATATTCTCCTGACCTTTTTTGTACTTGATCACATATGTGAAAGTTTCAAGAAACTTCATCCATTTGGCAAGTCTTTTGTTGAGTTTATGTTGCCCCTGGATGTGCTTCAATGCCTCATGATCGAAATGTATTATGGACTCCTTAGGCCAAATGTAGTGTTTTCACATTTCCATCACCCGAACGAGAGCATACATCTCCTTTTCATACGTAGGATAACTAAGTGTAGCACCACTTAATTTCTCACTAAAATATGTTATAGCACATCCACCTTGAGATAAGACTGCTCTGATTCCCACATTTGATGCATCACATTCAATTTCAAATTTTTGGTTTAAATCAGGTAATGTGAATAAAGGTGCATGAATTAAACACTCTTTAATAGCATTAGAAAACTTCTCTTGATCTTCCCCAAAAAGAAGGTAGATTTATTCTTGGTAATACTTGTCAATGGGGCGGCTATGGTGCTAAAGTTATGAACAATTCTCAGATAAAAGCTTGCGAGTCCATGGAAGCTTCGTACTTGTGAAATGCTAGCTGGTTATGGACACACTTCAATGGCTTTAACATTTTCTTTGTCAACCTCCAAGCCTTTAAAACTCACAACGAAACTATCATAACCATCTTGAAAAACAATTATGACTTTATTACAAAAATTTGAGATTTTGAATTAATTGAATTATTTAAATTGGAGTCACCATCGACCTTTAGGCTAGGTAGATCGAATACCTACAAATGTCTTTTTTAAAACAATTTTTCATTTTTAAGACAAAAAATGGTTTGCGTTACCAAAATTTCATTTCTTAGGATTCGGGAATAAATTACGCGTGGGGAAGGATATGCACCCCCATGACGCCTAAATTTAGTACTTAGTCGCTTATCTATTGTCGTAAATGGTCAGCATCATAATTTGAATCAATATTTAAAGTACAATCCTTTTTATTGAACATCGAATAATTTACTTCAAATTAATTATTACAGAAAATTCTTTAATTTAAAAAAAAGAAATTTTATGATTCACAATCCTCCATCGAGAAGGCTATCCCATTTATTTCTTAGCTGTAAAAGAATATTATCTCTTCAAATTGTTTAAAAATATTAAATCGAATAAAAAATTAATATCATAATTTGCATGAAATAATTCATTACTTCTTTAAAAGACAAACATATATGGTCAGTACTTAAATTAAAATAAAAAAAGACAAATTAAAATATTACTATCATCTAATAGATAAAAAACTTGATTTATTTCAAGTTCACCATTTCGTTCGAATGTTGTATTGAATCACACTTCCTCTGTAAAATGATGTTTTCAACACCCATTCTACGACGAGCGTTTTTGAAAATTTACAAACATTATTTAAAATTTTATCAAATAAAAAAGTATTTTATAAATAATTAATTAATTATAAAAGATTAAAAAATGAATACAAATGCAAAAAGGAACATACGTGTAATATAGTAAATAAAATATATTTATTACAAACATATATCTACTTAAAACTGTAGCAAAATATTGTATAGTAATATGTTGTATATTTATACACGTACAAACTCAAGGGATAAAAAAAAACAAGTTTACTAACAGGGCAAACTAAAGTTCACATAGATTTTTAATATGCCTTATAAAGTGATTAAATAATAAAAGATAGGGTAAAGTATAGTAATGGTCACTGAACATTTCTGAAGCTTGCATTTAGGTCCCCTAACTTTTAAAACTTACAATACAGTCCCCCAACATTTATTCCGTTTGCAATATGGTCCCCCAACTTAAACCACCGTTAGAAATTAGGGTAAATTATATAAAAAGTTATTGAACTTTTCAGACACTTAAATTTAGGTCCCCCAACTTTTAAAACTTGCAAAACAGTCCTCAATTTCATTCTAAACCCCAATTTCCAAAGTAATTCAATTTCATTCTAAACCCTAAATTCCAAAATAATTCAATTAAATTCAATTATGTCAGATTTATTATTATTTAATTTCATCTTATTTCATGTGATACGTATTTTTTATATAAATATAATAGTATAATTCTTATCTGTTGAAGAAATTTTTTAATTAAAAAAGTAGTTAGGATATAGAAGAGGTTGAAAATAATTCGAATTTTAAATTTATAAAATGTTATTTTGACGTATAAATAAAAGTGTAAACTACTAGGTTGACAACTTAACTATCTAGCCCTTTTTACTTTTGTCATCGATCTTTTAAATTTATCAATCATACAACATAATTATTTAACTGTTTCAACTAAGCCACTAGTCGTTACCAATTGATACAAATGATGAAGTGGCAGTTAAAAGGAATTGACATTATTATACATTCAGTCTTTATTATTTATATAATCAATTTGGTCCTAAATTAAATAGAATTTAATAAATTAATCATTTAATTAGGATCTGACATGTGTTAGCACATGATCATGACACGTGTCATTGGTGACACATGTCACCACCTAATTATTTATATATGCTATCAATTTGGTCCTAAATTAAATAAAATTTAATAAATTAATCATTTAACCAGGATCTGACATGTGTTAACACATGATCATGATATATGTTATTGGTGACACATGTCACCAACTAATTAGAAGAAAATTAAGTTACAAAGAAGTAAAATTTGGGTCTTGGGCAAACTCAAACCTGAGTCACGCAAATGAAAGATACAGGGTGGAGCCACTAAGCTAACACCATCGTTTGTGTTAAGAGATATACAACAATACATATACTAATAGTATGTCCAATGCCTGAAAAAAAGAATATAATGGAAAATGGAAATAATGAGATTTGAACTTCAGCAAAAAATTTGAAAGCAATAAATGATGGGAAATATTATATTTTTTTACAATAAAAAATATTATATTTGATAAATTGTTTGATAGATTTAATATATTTTTTATTTATACATCTAAATATAAATATACATTTATATAAATATATTTTTATTCGTATATTGAAATATTTTGATTAAAATATAAACATATTTTAAATACTAGTTTATACAAGAAAAATAAAATATATCAAAAATATAAATGATTCATACATTTAAATATAAATTGAATCATTTATATTTTCTATACATCTATATTTAATAAGAAAATAAAATTATTGGGGGACTGTTTTGCAAGTTTTAAAAGTTGGGGACCTAAATTCAAGTGCCTGAAAAGTTCAATGACCGTTTATATAATTTACCCTAATTTTCTAACAGTGATTTAAGTTGGGGGACCATATTGCAAACGGAATAAATGTTGGGGGACTGTATTACAAGTTTTAAAAGTTGGGGGACCTAAATGCAAGCTTAAAACATGTTCAGTGACCATTACTATACTTTACCCTAAAAGATAAATTACAGAGCATTAATGCAAACATGGAAAAGGATCATAAAAAGGGGTTATAATTCTATACATACATAAATATCTAATCTAAAATATAGGCATTAAAATGGAAAGACATATTTAACAAGAAGTTAAAAATATTTAAAATAGGAAACACATACATACTAAAGAGCTGGAATATAATCATAAACGTATAACATATACATTCAATACAATTACCACAACGAAGCTAATAATAATAAAAAAATAAAGTAAAATAAAAAATAAAAATTAAAAATGATTGAATCATAACGAATAAAAACTACAGGGGCTCTTACATAATAGATCTATCTTATTCTTACGTAATATAATCATACACGTATAACATACACATTCAATAAGTATGCCCCCAGCCCCCCTTAAATGGCGTCGTTTGACTGACCAAATATATGGTCAAATCTTAGGCCAAAACTGGCCATTCCCCATTTGCTCCATTTCCTCTATTTTAATATAAAATGAAAGCCTAAGAAACTCTCCCCCTCCCTCTAATTTTCTTCCGCCGCCAAGAGAAAAGAAAGAAAGCTCTGACCGTCGTAGATCGACGGTGAAGGTGAGTAAAGTAAACTCAAATCCCTCATCTCTCTCTCAACCTTTCTAAAGTCTTATTGTTTGAATGGTGGCTTGTTTGGGTTCGAAAATCTCTTGTTTTTCTCTTGGTTCAAATGGTTCTTATTTATTCGATTTTTCCATTGAAAAAATGATCTCTTCATTCATCACAAGTCCGATTTAAATCGGACATTTTCGGACAAAAATCATGATATCTACTCATAGGGGAATTATTTCCCTACTATTACCCTGTATTTAACGAGATTTTTGCAATTTGTTTATTGGGTTGTTGGATTTGGTTGAAATTTTGATTGACTTGATGTGTTTGGTACAATATTCGGCCGGATTTGATGACAACAATGGCTCAGGGAGCCTTCGACGGTGGCTCATGAGGCAGGGAAGCCAGAACGTTCGCACATGTGTGGCACGCTCCAGTCAGGCAGCGATCTTTACTGGGTTGCGGCGGTGGCTGTTGATCTATTAAGGTGAAAACCCTAAATTTGGACTATACTTAATTTTTAGATCTAAACAGATCTGATGACTAGGAAAAGACTGTATAGCAATCTAGGGTGAAAACCATAATTATTGACGTATCTAGGCCATTGATTTTTGCCATATTTGACGGTAAAGATCGTGCACTGCTAAGCTTGGGTTAGACGGGCTGTTGGGCTTAGGGTTTGAAGGGCTTGGATCTTTTGTAATTAATGGCATTTGGACCAATCTTATATATTTGATCTGTAAAATTCATGAAAATAATATATACTAGTATATTATACTCTATTTAATAATAATAGTGATAATAACAAGTACTAATTAATAATAGTGATTAATCACTAATAACATTAATTAATAATAATGATAATTAATAATATTATATGCAATACTTATGAAAATGGGTTTGGGATAAAATTAGGTGTCTACAGTTGCCCCTCTTTGTCCATTATTGTATGACTAGAATGGGACAAAGAACAAAGACTCTAATTTTGTCCTCCCATGAAATTAAGTTCATATCTATAAATTGAGTTTGTCGGAGGATGAAAATGTTTGTTCACGTTGAGGACGTCTTGGTCCTATCCTAGTAGTTCATTTCCTCGGGAAATATAAAAATGACACCATTCCTTCACGTTGAGGACGTCTGATCATATTTTGACAGATCAATTCGACATGGTCCTTCATGATGAGGGCGTTTAGTCGTATTTTAACGGATCAATTTGACATGGTTTTTCATGATAAGGACGTTTAGTCGTGTTTTGATGGATCATTTCAATACGGTCATTTATGATGAGGACGTTTAGTCGAGTTCAAATGATGGCATATCTGAGGCAATATTGTTTCTTCATGTAATATCCCACTTTTTGAATTAACGACTTTATTGAAAATATTTTTAAATGGAGGATTTAAGTGAGTAAATGATAAAAGATGTGTGAATGATTGGAATAGTATTTTAGACAAGATTGCAACTATAGATGAATAAAAAGGGAATTTAGTCCTTTAAAGGGGAAATAAATTTAATGATTATTTTATTTAAGTATTTAAGTAAGTAAAAGGGGAAGAATGAGGAAAAACTTTATTTCTTTCTTCTTTTTCTTTCACGTGGTCAAGCTTTTCTCCATAGCTCTGAAGGTAAGTTTAGATTAATCGGTTTTTCCTTTTGATTGTGGGTTGTTTTTAAAACCTTAAGTGATATAGAAGCTTAAGGAATGATTAATTGAGATTAAAACCAAGAAATGGTGAAAATATTAGAGATTTTAGAAAATAGGTTTTGAAATGATATGTTAGTATATTGGTGTTTATTGAGGTTTATTGGTACATTTGACTTGCCAAAGAGGTAAATGAGAGATTAGAAGTATTAGATGATATAAATAACATATTAGAAAAAGTGGTTTTATTCTTAGATTTGAATGTTCTTGAATGATTTTAGATGTTCTAAGAGGCTAAATGAATGAATGTTAGTATGGATAGTTAAGGAAGAGTTTAATAGTATGGTATGGGGTAAATATAACAAGAAGTGACAACATTGGGATAAAAATCGAGTTGAAAACTGAAAAATTCTAGGAAAGGGTATTGGTACTGCTAGGAATAGTACCGATACTATAGGCTAAAATGAGATAAAATAGATGAGTAGTCCCTATACTAATTCTATCAGTATCGATACCGATGAAGTAGTATTGACACCATGATAATGGGCATCGACACCGAGAAACATTGAATCTAATTTTGGTATCGATACCAATAGGGGTATCGGTACCATAGTAGAGTGGTATCGGTAAAATGGTAAGGGTATCGATACCATGGTAAGGGTATCGATACCAGACAACATCGAACCTATTTTTGGTATTGAAACTCGAAGGGGGTATCAGTACCATAGTATAGAAGTATCGGTACTAGAGTAGTAGTATCGATACTATTGAGCCAGAAATGTTAAAATAGGTTGATATTGGTATAGAAAGTTAATGATACGTTCTTTTGAGTATTGTTAAGTATAATGGTTAGGAAATATTCTAACATTGCGTATGATATATGTTTTTTATGGATGCTTGAGTAGATCAGAACTAAGTTCCCGAAACAAGAAAAAACTAAGGGCAAAGGCAAAGTACCAGAGTAATCAGCCTTACCTTTTGGATATATAGAAATGATAGTCAGGTGAGTGCATTTATGTTGTACATTAAGAGTTATAAAGATATTTTGTTAAAATATATATATTGCATGGATATATCAGTACTATGTGTACTATAGGCACTTTGTGTGCATATTCCTGGAATTCATCATGAGTTGATGAATCACCGTACAAACACTTAGTATGCATATTCACTGATGAATCACCGTACATGCACTTTGTCTGCATATTCACAGAATTCATTATGAGTTGATGAATCACCGTACAAGAACTTCGTGTGCATATTCACAGAATTCATCTTGAGTTGATGAATCACCGTATAGGTACTTCATGTGCATATTCACAGAATTCATCATGAGTTGATGAATCACCGTACATGCACCTTGTGTGCAAATCCACGTATTTCATCATGAGTTGATGAATTCTCGTATAGGCACTAATTATGCATTTTAATAAATGAACATGAATAGAAAGGGGGTAAAAGACCATAATAGCACCAATGGTGCAAAGTTATAAGGTTTACAATAAATTGTAAAGAGTTACTCGATATTAGAATTGTTACCTTATATTACGTTTATAAATTGATTATGATTATGTATGCCTCACTAAGTAATACTTAACATGTGTTCATTTCACGCGTAGGTTGAATACCAGCTGAGTAAGGAGATCATCAGATATCTAGTCAGAGTCGCGTAATCAGTTACAGTATGACATACCTGTATACTTTTGATATATTTTAGTTGGCATTTAATAGGTTTAGTAAAAATATTTTGTATTATCCAGGGAAGGCTAATGTTGTAGCTGATGCTCTTAACTGAAAGACTTTTATAGCTTTACGTATGTTAGATGCCCGGTTATTTTTAAAGGACAGTGGTGCTCTGGTGGTTGAATTAAAGTTAAAGCCTTTATTGTTGGAACAAAAAATGAGTTTCGAAGGAGAGATGAAAAGTGTTTAGTAAGAATAAAACAAGTGAAAAAATGTGAAATAAAAAAAACTTTGAAGTAAAGTCTCATGGATGTTTATACTATAGATACCGAATTTGTGTTACAAGTGATGAATAATTGAAAAAAGTATGATGTAGAATTGAAGAAAGATATACTTTTTAAAGCGTATTTTATCCCGTTGACTCTGTATCTAGGAGGGAACAAGGTGTATCAAGATTTAAAGAGTCGATATTGGTGGCCAGGCATGAAAGAGTTATTACAAAGTTTATTGCAAGGTGTCTAACCTGTCAATAAGTGAAACTAAACATCAAGTTCCTTCATAACTTTTGCAATTGATCTCCATTCCTCAATGAAAAAGGGAAAGAGTTACGATGTATTTCATAACGGGGCTACCATTAACACTGAATAAAAAGAATTCAATTTGGGTAATTATTGATAGGTTAACGAACGCATCACACTTTATTCCTGTTCGAACTAATTATTCAATGGATAAGTATGTTGAATTATACATCAAGGAGATAGTTCAACTACATGGAGTAACAGTTTCAATAGTATCAGATAGAGATCCAAGGTTCACTTCTAGGTTTTGAAAGTATTTATATGGAGCCTTGGGTACCCGATTGAACTTCAGTATAGCTTTTTACCCTTAAACAAATGGTCAGTCTGAGTGAACTATTCAAGTTTTAGAAGATATACTAAGGGAGTGTGTAATAGAATTCAAAGTATCTTGAAAAAAGTATTTTCCTTTGGCAGAATTTCCTTACAATAATAGTTATCAATCTAGTATCAAGATGGTGCCCTACAAATATTTATTTGGAAAAAAGTGTCGAACACCATTAAAATGGTTTGAATTGAAAGGTCAAGACTTAGTGGGGTCAGTTTTGATAAAAAAGTCAAAGAGAAAGTGAAGATTATTCAGGATAATCTTAAGATAGCCGCTGATAGACAGAAGTCTTACTCACAATTGAAGAGAAAGGAAATTGAATACCAAGTAGGTGATAAAGTATTTCTTAAATTATCGCCCTGGAAGAAGATTCCACAATTCATTGGGCCTTACAAGATCTTAAAAAGTGTTGGACCAGTAGCATAACAATTAGCATTGCCACCAGAAATGGATAAGATCCATAATTTTTTCATGTATCGATGCTAAGAAGATATTGATCAGATCATTCTCACATCATAACACCGAAAGAGATAGAAGTCCAATATGATATGACCTATGAGGAAGAGCTAGTGCAGATTTTAGTACATGAAGTTAAACAACTAAGGAACAAGACATTCTGTTAGTTAAAGTTCTTTGTATAAATCACAAGGTGGAAGAGGCGAAATAGAAGCGTGAAGAGGATATGAGAAGACAATTTCCTCATCTCTTTCTACTTTGAAAATTCAAGGAAGAATTTTCTTAAAGGGGAGAATTGTAATACCCCAAACATCGAGTCAGCGACTAAAGTGTACAGATTTAAAATTTAGTGGTTTAATTTTGATAAATTGAAATGTTCAAGGATTTATTTGGAAAGTTTTATTTAGGACTTATTATCGAAGATTGAAGGAAGGAAGGGCAAAGTGGTCTTTTGGCATGAAATGAGTTAAAAAATAATTTTAAAGTTAATATAACATGTGGGAAATAGAGGAAAAGGAAAAGAAAATCCTATAAGCATTTGTTCATCTTCTTTTCTTCATTCCACCATGGACCTCTGTTGCCAAGGTGAGCCATTTTTAAAGTTGGTTGTTTCTTGAATTTTTTGTTTGATTTTGAGTCCTTGGGTAGTATATAAGTTTAAGAAAGCTTAAAGATCATTAGAAGCTATGGGATTGATGAATTAATAGTGAAATTGGTAAAATGGGTTTTTAAGGAGTTGATAATTGAGTAGTTTATGGATTTTAAAGGTATAACTGACTTGTCAAAGGTTTGAATAGGGTATTTGAAGTATTAGAAAGGATTGAAAACATGTTTGATGATTTTTAGTTTTAAGTGTTCTAATAAAAATTTTGGATGTTAAATGGGATTTAATGGATATAAGTTAGTTGTGATAAGTGTTTGTAAGTTTAAGTCTTTGATTGGAGTTAAAAGTATGATATTTAAGTGAGCTTAGGGTAAAATTTGAAGGGAAATGAGTGAATTATGGGCAAGGGTATCGGTACTGGAAGAATAATATCGATATTGTATGAATCGAATGAACATAATCGATACTGAAAGGGTAGTATCGATGCTGGGGTATCGATACCAATATTATGGTATCGATACCAATATTATGGTATCGATACCAATATTATGGAAGTATCGGTATTGGTATAGAGTACCGATGTTGTTCAGCCTGAAATTGTAAATTAGGGGTTTTATTTAGTTAATGTAAATGTTGATGGATTAACAACTATGTGAGATCCGATAGTCATTTTGGTTATGCTCATATGTAGACTTCTATCAATTAGAAGTACTGAACGAATTGAAGTAGTAAAGAGATTAAGCGAAAGTGAAAAGGATTTTACTTAGGAATTCAGTGAGGTAAAGGTGAGTGCAACTTATTTAGTTTATATTCTATATGAGGAAGGCTTGCAATGATCCAACCTCAAAGGTTTTCGATCAAAAACTGTTTGAATTATTTTATGTAAATTTTATTGTTTTACTTAAATTGTATTTCATAAGCATAGTTTTGATTTCAGTACTATGAGTATATGTGTTTTATGTGAATGAATCATCATTTGATGAATACTATGTGAATACTTATATGGCTAAATCCCAAAGTATGTGCTATGAGAATTAAAGGTATAATTGACATGCCAAGAGTTGAGGGTTCTACGTGGTTCTTCAGAATAATTCTATGTGGTCATTAGAGACAATTCTATGTGGTCCTTCGGGACAATTCTACGCGGTCATTCGGGACAAATCTATGTAGCACTTTAATGCATATTCTAGGTGGCACTTCGGTGCAAATTCTACACGACAGTTTTGATTGCAATTACAATGTACAACCTCAAAGTACTCACATACCTTTAGTTCTTAGTGATATGCATTGGGCTAATTATACAAATTTGATATGGATTGGAAGTTCATAACAATATATTTTATTTATATTAAATGTATTATGTTTTCGTATTCAATGTTTTCTCCAAAATGTTTAATCGAGTGTTTTATTATTTTGTTATGCTAATTTATGCCTCACTAAGTCAAAGACTTAGCGTGTGAGTGTTTTCACATGTAGGTTCAAAGAAGACAGAAGAGTAAAGCTATGTCGGGATAACATATCTCTAGAGAAGATCAAATCAGATCGATTTGAAAAGTAGGTGGTTTTGTTATTTTGACATTTTGTTGGCATGTACTGCAAAGGTTTAAATCACAAATGCTCTTATCTATTTTGTAACTATACTATTTAAAGTTTATGTAAATATATTAAGTATTTATTTTCATCGTGAAATATTAATTTTTTGATATTAAATTTTGTATGAGGGTTTCAACACTAAAATAAAAGTAAAAGTTTAAATTTTAAACATATTTTAAAAGAGTAAAAACGTTAAAAAGTCAATGTGACACCTCTGATTCGTATTCGGGTCGGGTACGGGTTGGGGTGTTATAAATATTCCCAAAATGCTACAAGACCACGAGTTACACGAGATCACTTAAATACAATTCGCGATGATCTCAACCTTGGAATCGTGGCTCTGGAAATACAAGCACCCCACTTTGAACTCAAACCAATGATGTTCAACATGCTCAATTCTATCGGTCAGTTTGGTGGCTTGCCTAATATGCCCACTTTGAAGTGTGTGACTCATTTAGGCAACCAAGTGTACATGAGGTCGTAGTGAAACTAAAATTATTCCCTACTCTTTACGCGACTGAGCAAGAGCTTGGTTAAGTGGAGTCTCATCCAACTCAATGGAATCTTAGGCAGACTTATGCAAAAATTTTATACTTCTATTTAACTGCTCAATATGTACACCCAACTTTGCAATGACATTTCATGTTTTCACCAAGGCAATAATGAATCTATGTATGAGTGTTGGGACAAATATAAAAGTTTGCTTTGCAAATGCACTAAGCATGGATTCCACGACTCGACTCAAGTAGTCATGTTCAGTGAATGGCACGTTACTTGATAAATCACCCAAGGAAGCCTTTGATATCCTTGATTCGATAGCCAACAACGACTATCAATTTCTGTCTGTAAGGCTTGGAACTAGCAGGAAAATATATTGGGAGTAGAACTTGATGGTAAGTTTCTACCCAATTTTCTGCCATAACTAACATGCTGGAAAATTTACAGTGTTCTAGTGAGGTGAAAGAAGTCAAGGAGACTAGCTTTACCATGATAACCATCATGAGAGTGAATGCCCAAAAATAAAGAGTCCATCAATTTTGTGGGTAATTTTAATAGAAGAAAAAATAACCCCTACTCTAATACATACAATCCCGGATGGCGATAATATCCTATCTTTTCCTGGGGTAATCAAGGGAACAACAACAACAACAACTACGCATGCAAATTTAATAGGCCACAATAAAATGTTTCTGAACATTCAAGTTTGCAGCATCAAAAGATGCCTTGGCAAAATAATAACAATAGAGGTAATTCATCTTGTTCAAATTCTAACTCCCTAGATGTATCATTGCATGAATTTATGACCTCGAAAAAAGATTTCATGGCTTCAAAAAATACTATGATACACGAGCACTCATCGACAATCAATAATCAAAGAGCTTTGTTACAAATCCAAAAGCTCCATTACAAAGTAATAGTTCATCATTGAGAGCGTTAGAGAATCAAGTGGACTAAATTACCACATCAATACATTCTTTCTCACAAGGAATTCTTCCTAGTGATACTGAGGTCACTAAGCCTCATGCAAAGGAGTAGTGTGAAACCGATGACAATGCACCTATTATTCTTGGGCATCCC